GGACAGAACGGCGTGCGATTTTGGTGGTTCTTTGTCCTATATGTCCTAATTACTTTGTCTGCCTACGTGCTTTATTTGTGGGACTTTCAGTTTCTGAAGCGGTGTTGGGTGAGATTCTGGAAAGATCGCCGCTGTGTGAGACGGAATAAGACGGCGGAGAAAAGCAATAAGAATCTAAGTCACATTATTTGAACACATTTTCCCGTGAGCCCATAGTTAAGCCTATTCTTAATAGTTAGGCTATGTAGTGATAGTACACCTGTAAAAGAAAGACGCAAACATAGGTGGCACCGCCTCTAACGTATTCCACTAGTAAGCTGCGCACCCCACCAAACTCGACCTAATGCTCTGCAAAATAGCTCTACTACTATGTAATAAAATTTAATAGAATCTAAAAACAGAATTAGTTATCTAGCTCTAGTTACATAAGGTCTACGTACGTCTTTGAATGTAACGCTTCGTGCACGTTAGCGGCGCGCATTAACATCTCTCACATAACCTGGCTCTACTCCGGCCCTACTAGTTACTACCCTTTCTGCGTCTACGGCCAGCTCCTGGCCCTGCTAGACTTAGAGAGCACCTCCACATACTATATAGTGACGTCGCTAGTCTCTCTTACATTCCTAGCGCTGAATAAATATAGATAGCTTTCTATTCTTTTCTGCGAGTATAGTCGCTGAGTTCATTGCAAGCTGAACGCTTTTAGTAAGCTAGCGTATAGCAGCACTTGTCAGGCTCTTTAAGTATCGGCATGGCCACTTTTAGAGATAGTGTACTTAATGCTGAAGCTGCGCTACTACATATAGTTTTCCTGTCTGCGTTGCGATGTTATTGTCTATAGTTATCTGTAGCGGAGACGGCGTCCGGACGACTGTAAGCGACGATAGAATAAAATCTAAATATGGAGGAAAAAGCCTAGCTATCCAGAAGCTTAACTAGATGTTCTGCTGCGTAAATACAACTAGCCGGATCCGTGTATAGATTGTGAGGGAGTCTACTCTCAACGTGGTAGACGCCCTAGTGCACAAGCTCCTCAATCTCACGTCCGTACACACGATTAAGTAGTGAGAAGATGTAAGGTGGCATGTAGAGAGTGATAATCTTGTTCTCCTTGCAGTACGTGTCAAACGCTGGCGTAGCGTGGCCGCTGTGGCTATCTAGGATCAGGAGACGATACGCCCCAGCTATACGAGCTACTATACGCTAGTTGAAATGCTTTACCCACTCTACGCTAAGCGCATCTATTGTCTAGCTGTTGTCTAATACTGCGAAAGTCCAGTCTGTAGAGTGGTCACTGTAACAGCTAGCCTAGTGCTGCTTACCAGACAGGATCACGAACGGTGGCAGCGACCAGCCAGACGCGTTAATATACTCAATCGTCGTTACTCACTCGTAGTTACCTAGTTGTACGGCGACTGCTCGACTAACTCTATTTACGTTAATGACTACTTTTAACGTGCCAGCTACACCCATTATAAAGCCAGTCTCATTAAAGTTATAGACGTTTTACTCTAGAACGCCGTACGTCTGGCACGTCTCCTCTACAAGCTTGAACCACGCTACTATTATAGCTAGATCCTCACAGCAAGCGTAATAGCTATAAAAGCTTCTGCTCTTCTTTTTCTAAAGCTTAGACTAGCTATTAACGAAGCGCGACACCCATTTCCTATTAACAGGTCGTGGAGGTGGATCTTAGCTACGCGCAGTGGGCAGAATGTCTGCCATCAGTTGCACGTCGGTAAGGTCTAGAATCCACTGCATGAGAGACTGCTCTTTAATAAGGGATAGTGTACGGTTAACAGATCGTAGCTCTAATCGTAGCTGTGTATCGTGGAGGCGCGTTCGTAGTGTTAGTTCTAGGACATTATATACTGCTGTAAGTGTACGCACTATTTAGATTATTTTAATAAGATGCTATAACTAGCAAGACTTATTTTACGTTCACAAGAATTTTGTCGTGTTAAGCTTGGGGGGGAGAGAGGGCAGCTTACTAGTCCCGCACATTAGCTATCACAGAAGGCTAATGCAAGGTGCAGGCATCCATACAGCATGCCCCTTATCTACTTAAGCGCTGTGTCCCGCACTACTAATCTTGAAATGACACGCTACTAACTATCTACTACTAATAGCTCACCAAGCTGATATTGTTCCTTTGGTACCTCGGGATATTCCACTCTTCACCCACCTAGTTTGATGGCGACGGTAGCGAATTCTATGGCCACTGGCCGCCTCCATGTCTTGCGGGATCCGGCCAACGCCTCTTAGGAGTGTATTGAGTGAGATAGATCCCTACAGAGGCATTAGCTTAGTTCTACTACTTATACCTAAGCTCAGCGTCGTTCTTGTTCCTGGCATTGGAACTATCCTACTAGAGAACTGGTCATTTGCTAACTAGAATTGGCTCGCTACTCTCTCTGAGCCTAGTTCTAGGGCGCGTATCCTTATATATGAATATAATTCGCTATTTCTAGATATTAGATTCTCTTGGGAGTTAATTCTAATGCTAGGTTACGATTTTCTCTAATGTTTGAGCGATGTAAGATCGAAGTTAGATACACATCTTGTAAGTAGCTGAGCATAGGACGGTTCTTTTTTAAACTACTAGCACGTTTACTAACATTCCTCTTCTAGACTGACAGTAAGCTAATGGTGGTAGTCTGCTATAGCCTGGGAGGAATTATAGTTAAATAAGCTTTATGCATTGCTAATAAACAGTTCTATCGTTATGGGTTAATCGTTAATGCTTTAGCCAGTATCATCTTTCTAAGCACTCCGCACCGCTATGCTGACAAAACTGCGTGCGCGGTACATTTCCGCGAAATCTTAGAATTAATAATAGGCAGAGGATTAAAGGTTACAAACGCTATTATCGAGCGAGAAGGTGCTATTCTGCTCGACCTTGCAGATAGATTCGAAGGAATCTCACTTCGCATACCTATGCTATCTGCCTATGAGCTAAGAGAGTCTAGAATTAGTTTAACGCCCCTGCGTTTAAAGTACTAATAGGTCAGTGTCCCGAGTCCTTGATTACGTCCTGATATTAACCTAGGCTTCTAGTTAGTCAACTGTGAAGTCTGTTTGACTTATTCTCCTATGGAAACCGTCGTTGGCTTAAACCTCGACTATTATAATATATGTGTTTTTACTGAAAGCGTTGGTAGTAAAGGCTTATAGGAGTTAAATGAGTTTGTATATAAAGTCTCGGTAGATGCTGTGCAGCTTGTTGCACTTTGGCTGAGAGAACGTAGGTTAAGAAGATCTTGGCGAGCTCTAGTACGATGCTAATGGTTCAAGAGGATTACTAGTACGTAATAATGAGCGCTTACTTGCCTACGATTAGCGAAACACTACTTTAAAGTGAGGTTAATAACTAAGCTTACTTACTACTTAACGTTAACGATAATTAGTTGAGCACCTAGATCTCTCCGAAAACTCTTCCAATACAGCCACGGAATAGCCTTCGAATAGAGTAATAGAAGGGACTACACCTTTGGGGTTTGAGTTGGTTTATTCTGCAGCCCCGAACACCGAACTGAAAAAATATGTCTATCTACCTTGCGTATTACTTAATATAAATCTGAAAAATAAGAACTTCTGCGGCTGTGAGGACATCTTGGCATGTCTTGCAGCTGAGCTCTTGCCTTTGAAGAGTATAGTGACAGCGTTAGGCACGGCTCTATAGTAGTTTACAATTTATAGATTTAGAGGAATTAGGAAGACTAAAATAGCTCGTGAATTCTGCCGCCGACATAGAGCTGCCTTTAATGCAGTATTTTAGGTGATAGCAGACGAGATTGCAAAACTCGACCATTACTATTAGTAAATATCGCTAGCATTAGGACTTGAAGACCTATCGGAGTGCAAGAGCTAGGTTGTTAGTAGAGAGATTGTAAAAGGGTAGCTCTCTAATCCTTAAAAGCAGCTATCTAGGTACGATAAGCTTAGTCAGCCCGATCAAGCGAGGTTAGAAGCGACTTAGTTACTTGTGTTTGATAACGCAGACGATCTAATAATCCTGGCGGACTACTAGCCTTAGGGTAGTAGATTAATTCTTATTACTAGCCGTGATCTATTGGCTAAACGCATATTTATAGGAAGGACATTAGGATTAGATCTCGGACCATTAATATAATAGGATAGTTTGTCGCTATTTAACTATCTTATACCTATTTCTAACGAATCCAAGGCTAATACTGCGAACAAAATCTGCGAAGCACTAGGCGGTGTGTCTTTAGCTATCTTATAGATAGTAGGAGTTATTTACCAACAGGACTTAACCTTGCTTGAATTTCTTGAGCTGTATACAGATTATAAAGAACATACTAATCTTTATAAGATAAAGTTCGATGCTAACTTAATTATATATTCTTACTCTCTGTCCACTGTTTAGGCATTTAAGAAACTAAAGCCTTATACGCGGCAGCTGTTGGAACTGATTTCGTTTCTTGACCTGGATTTTATTAGAGAGGATCTATTAATTAAAGCATTAGTTATGTTACTTTTAGATAGCGCGCAGTTCAGGAAGAGTGCTTATATTAAGGCTTAGACTGATCTCTTATAGTTATCGCTTGTTTAAAGAGACAAGTAAAGACAGCAGTTATTAGTCCATCGCATCGTATAGGAAGTGATTATAACAACGATGGACGAGTTTAAGAAGCGATCTATGTTTAATCTAATTGTACGAACTCTTTGGGCGGACTGGCTATTGGCTATGCCTAAGCTATTAAAAGAGCTAGAATTACCTTAGCCTAAATTAAGTAGTAGCAGACTATATGTTGGGAGGTGGCCTGTTTGTGCGGCGATATATCCTCACGTTCTAAGAATACATCAGCTCTAGTTAATAATATTAGATCTCTTAGACGCCACTAAATTATATTTTATAAAGTTGTTAAACGAGGCTGCATATTACGTAGAGGATATGTAAGCTCTTTGCTGCTTAATCTAACCTAGCTAGGTATTAGAAAGAACGCGGTAGAATAAAGGATTTTGATAGCTTCTTTAAGACTGCTCGCAGCATCTGCGAATCCTCTGTATACTCTGATCAGGATTCCCTGCTTGCAGACATATATTTCTGCCTAGGAGCTATCTCTATAGACGTAAGCGACTTCGATAAAAGTCGCGTTTATAAAGAATTATCTTTCGCTCTAGTTTCTAACATTTGCAAAGAACTAGGAACTACTAATAAGAGATTGTATCTTATATACGTAGAGCGAGGTATCTTACGCATTTAGGATAAAAGGTATAAAGAAGGTGAGGCTGATCTTAGGGAAGTACTATGGATTCGTATAGCTCTTGGTAACTACGTCCTCTGGTCTGGCGAGGTTAACCTGAGCTAGTCCCTTCTTGTATAAGGAAAGCTGGAAGAGTGTGATGAGCTTCTTTCGGAAACTCTTGCGGGTAGAGAAAGGGCGTTAGGCAAAGACGATAGGGAGTCTGTTAGAATAGGACTGGTTCTATATGTAATTGGTAACCTTCGTGCTGCTTAGAATTGATTGGATGAGAGTTTTGAGTTTTATTAGCGAGTAATGCGCCACATGCGCGCGATAGTTAGTAAGAAGGATTTCTACACTGCGAATGTCGCTTATAAAATTACGGAGCACCTGCTCCGCTTAGGTTAAAGTAAAGAATTAATATAAGTGTTGCAATTTTAAAAGTATATGTAAGATTTAATCTAACTATTTCTTAGTACTATAGCTAATATAGCGCTAGATATCTAGTCTATTGATCTAAGTGTATATAAGAACGAGATTGCTCGCATAACCTTCCTTAAGGGCCGCTTGTTTAAAGCAATAGGTAGAAGTTAAAAGGCGTCTATTGCCTTTAAAGTTACATGCCGCTTAAGAAAGGAAATAACTTAAGAGGATTAAGATATGAATAGCTTAACTACGGAAGATTTTGATAAGATCGTTGCTTTTTAGGCTTAATAATAAGTCTTATTTGTCTGTATAGATTATACAATCTTAAGACTATATTTTTAAGAGTTAAATTCTTCTAGACTAGATATACACTCAGCCCAGCCGTTATTAATTTCCCCTAATTGCTAATCATCTCCAAGCGCATTTATCTCTATTCTCCTAGCCAATACTTGTTCTTGCTTGCTTCTATACTTAGCCGCCACGTCTTGATGCGGAACTTAAATAACTCTTATCCCCGCGCGTCTTCTGGCCTCTACTCCCGTTACACTGTCTTTAAATACTAAACACTTATTAGGCTTAATAGTATCTTCCGCGTTATTTGCTAAGTTTAATGATTGTAACGTAATTAGGTATATATTAGGGGCTGGCTTCTCTTGACTCTTTCGTAGTTGTGCATCGTCGCCTAGAATCCGCTGCTTTGGCTCGAAGAAATCTAATAACTGCTTCGTCTCCAGTTTTGAAGTTTTTAATCTAAAGCTATGGCTCTTACTGCTAGATGCCAGCGCTAATTTGATTTTGTCTCCTGAGGAATTTCGCGCATGACTAAGATTGGAAAGAAGCTTATTCGCACTAGGCAACGGTTCGTAGCTCTGGAACTGAGCTTATATTTACTCTTTTAACTCTTGAGTAAACTGCTTGCGCGGAATAGGCAGCTTAGCCTAATTGTAAAATATGTCGCTATTTGTTAAGTCCGGGATGTCTATAAGCTAGACTTAAATTAACTAAGTAAAGGCAGGCCTGCTGTACTTTTCGAGAAGTCGGTTCGTGTAAAGAGTAATAATATCTTTAGAGTTGATAAGGAGTCCGTCTATGTCGAAAATATAAGCCTAGATTAGCGGAAAAATCGTAGCGGATATATTGCTCTTAAGTAACAGCTTCGCTGTTCTTATATAAATATTAGAGACAAACACATCCCCGGCTAAACACGGTCGCCTACATTAGAAGAACTTACTATAATCTAGAGAGCGCTATGTTATTATAAGCGGCTGAAGCCGTCATCTCTAAGATTGTCGAGGTGGAAGGAGTCAAGCCTATTAGCAGTGTAATGCTAAGGTAACGCGAGTACGGGGTATGAAAAAAGCGTTTACATATAACGTCTATCTCTATGTGCCGGGACGCATAGTATAACGGGATACTTTCTCTTCCGGACCCTTAAACTATCTACAACGTGCTTGTATATAGATAAGCGTAGTGCGCATATACTCTAGAGCTCTTGCTCTTTTAGCATATTAGCTACTGATGCTAAAAAGCGCGTTATTAACCATGCTATCGCTCGTTCTATTAATGCTGTTAAATAACTCTCTTCTAACACCTCTTACTTCTCCGTGATTGTACACTTCTCTGAATAGTTCGGTAGACTAGGAAGAAAGCTGGAATAGTAAAGATTAAGACTATAGTCTTAAAAGGTCGATTTAGAGTAATAAGTATATATCCTAGTAGTTTCTCCGCGTAGTTAGCAAGATCGTTAAAACGCGTCCTCTAAGACATGCGCTGTTAGTAGCACTTAGCATGCAGGTAGCCTATAGTAGCGTGCTTAGATATATCTATTTAACTATAACAAATCTAACACTATACCCATAATAGAAGCTGCTAAACATAGTTATAGCGTATGCTAATAGCTCTTTATAGTTAAGCGTTTATAATTAGCTAACTAACTATATAACTAGTTAATATCCCTCCCTGTACACGGAAAACTAGGTGGACTAGAATCCACCAATAAGAGCACAGAGGCAGCAGACATCATAGCACGGCGATGTGTTTTATTGGCTAGTTCCGGCCTACTAGATTTTACGTTACTCAGAGAGTAAGGTTATTAAATCTGCTCACAATAGTTAACCCTATAAGCAACGTGAATATAACGCTTAGGATTTACTAAGTAGTAGTGATTCTTAAACTTTATATATTATAAAGATAGCCTAAATACCTATATATATCCTACTTACGTCTAAAAGATAGAGATAATAGAAAAATAGACTAATTAATTAATGCGCTATAGATTATGCCAAAATTAGCCTTACTCCGCCATAGATAGGTAGTGCGTCTGCCTAGATCCGTTGCGCTAGAATAATAGTAGCAGCCTTAGGGAGTAGTTCTGCCTAATTAATATTTGTATAAGTTCCTATGTTTTATAACGTTGCTTATTTATAAGAATTTCTTTATCTATAATCGTCTTTATTAACCCTAATTTACTCTATGTTATCACCGCTAGTAGACTTTCTATTACGACTAGAAAGAGCCTGTGTTAAACACTCGGAAAAAATCGCTGTAGGAGCGACTGGGTTCTAACCTACTCTATATAATAACTTAAAGAAATCTAAGAAAAGAAGATAGTAATAGGCTATGCACGAAGTTCTATAGAAGCCGTCTTTATTAAAGCTGTCTAACTTACTTAAAGACTCTATGTTTACTTACTTCTAGGAGGAAACTAAGAAGAAAGACGGTGCGAGCTGTGTGTTCTTGCTGTAGGGTTCTGAACACTCTGAAAGCTTTAAAACCTAGGCTGTAGACGTTCTAATTACCGACGTTAAAGATAAGTATAAAATCTTTAAGTTATTAAAGAAGAAGTATGATAAAGAACTTGGCCTCCTACGAAGGTACTTTTCCTTCTGGAAAATCACTAGACTTAAGCCCGTCACTGTATATTCCTACTATCTTATAGCATGCCTACTTATACTAAGATTAAACATAGTTCTAGTTAATCTACCGTTCTTTAAAAAGGTTCTTAGCCTTCGTTAAACCTTTAGACCTAGACAGCTTGCACAAGAGCTACTCTAAGTAATAGAGAGAAGTAATAAAAGCTATCGAATTAATAATAGACTTCGATTCGAACGCTTTTCCGCATAACTGCTATCGCGACAGCTCTAGGGAATACCATCATTCTAACAGTGATTGCCCAACTAACTCTTTAAAGCTCTCTGGTGTTTTAACCTGTCCTTTCTAGGAATGGTATAGTTGCAATGATTAGATACGTTGGATTAAAACCGCGCCTTTCCTTTCTTGCTACTTCCGTAATCCGGCCGTTGTAAGCTCTTAAAATATACTTAATGGCCTTAGTAACTATTAATTTATCTATTACTATAGGTAAGTCTCAAATACATATGCTATAAGATCCAACTAACGTCAATATTACTAGGAATATTAATTTCTTAGTTAACGACTTCCGACCGTAGAATAGATACCTAGAATTAGGTGGTTTATACGTTGAGACTGTATAGTGTCCTAGAAAATGCCTCTATGCATTTCTAGGTATCCTCTTTTCTGTATTAACCGGAGGAAAACTTTTCTAGGGTAGCTAGGAGGTAACCTTCGGCGCTGGAAGCTTTATCGTCGCTTTACTGATGTTGGTATTAATAGTACTTAGTTGCTATAATGTCTGAAATATAGAGAAAGCGACTAACGAAAGAGTATAAAACTTTTACTATTTAGCTTTTCGTATGTCAGCTTATATAGAGAGAATGAAATAGATCTTCTCATAAGCATACAGCGTACAAAATGGATAAATATAGATATCTAAGATCTAGATCTTAGCCGTAGCTCTGGTAAGTGCATTAGGTATAACAGAAATAACACCATGATTGCAAGCGGGTATAAATAGTAATTACATAATAAAGGTCTGCATAGCTTATAAACATAGCTATTACATAGCGTATAGGAGGAAGGAGCTCTGTTTATAGAGAAGGTAATTTTTTAACTTAATAACTGCAGCTTATCTTGCTGCGCTTACTCTCCATGTAAGTAAATCTTCTTTTAACCACGCTGATGTTTGTCGCTGCTTCTCGCAAGGTACGCGAACGTCATCTCGTCTACATCTGCTCCTCTAGTGTTTAAAACTGTTACATTAAGAGTGTTCCGTCATCACCAAAGCTATTAGTCGTAATGCAACTATCGTCTTAGTGCTTTAGATAACGCATTAACTCGTGTGGATGTGTGGTAGGCTTACGGTAGTAACGAAACCTAAGAGGCCTAGAGTAACAGCCTAGTATAAAGAGAGTGCAATAATCATATTGTATACTTTACAGGTCAATGTAAGAGGAAGGTAATAGATAGCCTTGCGACTCTAAACGCGTTAACTATAGAACTGCGTTCTGCAAGGCGCGAACTAAAAAGAGCGTGTTATATATATTCCTGGTCTAGTAGTGGTATCGCCCGGTTCTTGTTCGATTATATATCTATAGAAGAAACTAAACAAGCGTATCCTCTTCTCACGAGCTAAGATATTTGTTGACTCTGTCCGAACGCGTAAAAAGGTACAATATAAAGCTATCTAATATCTTAGACCACTAATCAGGACGCGAAAGTCTGTTTGCTAACGGCGTGATCCGTTCGAACTTCCTACGCTCTCCTTCAACGCGAAGAGATACTATCGTCTAGCTAAGGTTTAAAATCCAGTATAGTACTTCGCCTAGGAGTTAAAGCTTATACAGCTAAGCTCTTTATTATGCGTATCCTTGTTTCCTCTGCTGTGGTCGTTCGAGAGATCTCTCTTAGCTACTGCCCACAGGCGTCACGGCAGGTCTATAAACGCCGTAGTCATTACTACATCTTTCTAGTACATCACCCTATGCTAATTAACACGCCGTTGCACCCTGCGGTGGTAGGATAGTGTCATCGATAGCGCAGAATACACATTTGAGAAGATATCAGTATGCCGGGTTAAGCAGAGCACGTTTCCCGTCGATCATATTATACAGCAGCATGTGATGGCGAATGTGCTTTAAAGTGAAAGAGTATATCACGTGTCGGCCTGCGCTCGAGCTATGCTGCATTGATTAGCTCGGAGGGATCCGTATAGTCAGGTGGTGTGAGGTGTGCAGGATTGCGCATTGTATCTTCTAAGAGTCTAGACCGCTATCGACCATCAAGGGACGACCCTGAAGCGGCTTCCCCCTCCACTTTGACCGACGCCGCACAACATCTGATTATAAACCTCCAGAAATGCACTTTAACCTCGCCTAGTATTATATTCCTAGTCTTTATTACTAAAACACTCATTATCCTGTCCCATCGGCACACATGGAGCGGGTGTTTCCTATCTAATGTATAATCTTCGACGATAGCCCAAATCTATTAGGTTATTATTAAGAAGCGGAAATTCGTCAACAGCGGACGGTACTCGTTAAGTCACCCTCTTCTCTCCGCTCTGGGATAGCTACCACTCAATCAGCTAAAGCCGTTAATCTAAGTGTTGGTGCTCCTCAACAAGACCCGGCCGTCCTCAAGAAGAAGGAAAATAAGTCAATCAAATAGCCTTCATCGGTTGCTATTAATGAGAACCTAGAGGAACCGCCACTAAAACAGTTAGATCTTATGTATACTGAACGCTGTGAGTACGCTTACACTAATGAAGCAGGCTCTGACGTAGTCTCGGGAAAGCGTAACCAGATTACGCGGTGCGAAGACGAACCCATATATATACCAGGGTCTATCTAGTCCTATAGTATGCTTATTGGTCTCGAAATGGTACAAGATGCAGGCGTATTGCGCTACACCTACCGCATCGTGAGCGAGAATGCTAAGAAGATTTGCAAGTACACGCCTTGCGTTATCTTCTACCTAAATAACTTCTTGTCCGTTTTCCTAGCGCATCAGCGACTCGTCTTCAAAAGCTATGCCCAATCCGTTATTAACCTTAAAACGAAGACACCTAAGGCTGCCGAGCCGAAAGTCTTTAGTATTAGTTTCATAGACTCGGGGGGGTACATCACCCCCGCTTAGTGTGCCATACATTTTCTCAGAGGGCAGTACAATTTATTAGTCTGTGAATTCGAACTCGAAGATAGCTTAGGATTAAGCCCCTACCTACTTAACAATCTGCCTTCAATGCCGCACAACACGCTCAACTCTAACCTAACTAACGCCTCTTTAAGCTTCATTGCGCGAAGCGACCCACTTAATATCTCTAGGGACACGATTAATATGTTTTAGAGAGAAGAAAGAATTATAGAGGTCGTCAACGTCATCTCTTAAATATAGCAGCAGCTATCTAGCTCGCTTAATATCTAAGCGTTACTAGACACTATAGTAGCGATTATGAAGGAGTTGACTAGCTATTATTAATGCATAATCTATTAATTCGACGAGGAATATAATGGCACAGTTGTCGCTAAGCTTATCAACCCCCGCGCCTGCACGGATGTTTATAGGGGTCTCTATTTCCCGGCGAGCGACATCCTAAAACAAGCACAAGAGCTATATAAGATTAATAAGGTCCGTGTTCTATTTGATAGAGAGCAAGCGCCTAGCAGGTTAATATACAGACACGTCGCTAACCTCAACACCCCCTTAGATCTTACCCATTTATATTTACGCGCAATATCTCCGTTACATCTCAAATACCTAGGTAATATAAGCGTCAGATCGACGATAAGCGTCTCGCTAGACTACAAGAACGAGCTCTAGGGTCTTATCTGTTGTCACTCATATGGCCCGACAGAACTTAGAGTACCATTCCCTATTCGTTAGTTGTCCTACTAGGTCGGGCTATATGCTTCCAACTGTCTCCACAAGTTACTAAATACTAAAAAAGTCAAGACAAGGGACTTACTCCTATCTATGCAGAGCCATATTAGTCCTCAAATTTATATATCGGCGTCTTCCAATAACCTCCTTCGCTTATTCCAGGCCGACTTTAGATTCCTCGTTATCAAAGGCAAAGCCCGCACGATCAGCAAGCTATCATCCTACAGCAAAGCGGTAACACTCCTTAGATATATCTACTTCCGCCAATTTCCCACTACCTACGCGACTAGGAATATCTCCAAGGACTTTCCAGATCTAGTGTTTAAGTCCACCTTCAAGCAGATTACCAGTCTACTAGTCATTCCGCTCTCACATAATGCCAGCGACTTCATCGTTCTATTTCAGAGAACACAAATCCGAGAAGTACACTAGGCTAGTAATCCTAACATAGGGTCGAAGATAGACGCTTTAGAGCCAAGAAACAGCTTCAAGAAGTGGACTGAAGTTGTCAAAGGAACTTACAAGCCGTGGAGTGACGAGCAATGTATATCCAAGCTCAAGCATGGTTCGCCTATACACTAATACATATAAGTTAAGGCGGCGGCCGTTACTAGGCTAGTATATAGTAACTTCATTCGCGTATGGCGAGAGAAGGAAGCCACGCTGAATGAATCACGAATAAAACGATTGCTTCTAATCAACCTCTCCTATAAAGGTTAGCTGCTAGACGTCTCTTTTTTTTAATATTCCTAGCTCGCTAACAGGCTCCAGTCCGTACTCCGCTTAATACTATTATTAATTACCTTAAAATTGCTCTTAAGAAGTCGCTGGACCAGGAGACGAAAGACGTCTTGAAATAGTCTCACTCAGCTTCGAAATCGCTCGTTTACGTCATCGACAACTTGCTTCATCTTACTAGTAGTAGGGGCCAGCAGCCCGTACCTATGCTTAATGCCACATTTAAGCTGCTGAAGGATCTTAAGACTATACTAGACCGATTACGAGCGCACGTAGTCCGAAAGCACCTGTCTTTCGTCGTGAATGAGGACGCTGACGTGCCTCTGCTTCTCCGCGGCGACCTCCCGAGATTTCAAGATGTGGTAACAAACCTAATCTCGAACGCGATTCAGTATACAGCCGAAGGAAGCATCGCCATACACATTGGGGCATAGGTAGTGACTAGTAAGGACTGCATTATATAAGTCGCCGTTAGCGATACTGGGATCGGCATGTCTGAGCGATAATTGGACGACTTGCTTTAAGAATTTGAGCAGGTTCCTGACGAGTATACTAACCTAGAGGAACGGTTAAACGTCGAAGAAGTATAAGATTTAATGGACATACATAAAGGGGTCAGGATGGGTCTCGGCCTCGCACTCGTAGCTAGATACGTTAAATAGTGCAGAGAGCAACTTCGTGTGCGATTAATTGAAAAGGAAGGTTCGACTTTCTTTCTGGACGTTCCTATGCAGATAGCTAAAGAGGACACGCGCATATCGCTTTCTCGCACGAGCTTAGGAAGCGGGTCGTCCTAGGAGCAGCCTCACATAGAAAGAGCGGGAAAGCTGCCCAGCTACCCAAATGCGGGCTCGGCGCAGTTATCAACTACACCGATCTACTTCCCTATGTAATTTAACCTAGCCCGACGTCAACGAACCAGATTACCCGCTGGAGCTAGTAGCTTAACCCATCACCTAACTTCTAATGCAGAGAGTCTAACCTAGTCTCCCCTCAAGAAGCTTCGCAGGGATACACTGCTTATCTTAATAGCCGACGATAATTCCGTAAACCTCTCGATCCTACAACGAAGGCTCAAGAAGATGGGTCATAAAGTAAAGACGAGTCTTAATAGGCAGATATGCTTCGAGACACTTCGCGAGAGCTATGATAGTATTAATTTTATCCTAATGGATATTAATGTAAGCACTCCTTTTCCTTATTGAGTTATACTAACGACGGTTTTAGATACCTATTATTAACGGCATTTAGTCTATGAAGATGATTCGCGCGTCTAAGATTGAAGCTCAAACCAATTTGCCCCCTGTCTCTTCTAAAGACGAGAGTGACATGTTAGAGCTATAGCAGCGCACTACCAATACCTCACTCCTGTCTCCTCCGATTACTAATCCACGCGAGTTAGGTAATACTGAGCCAACATTACGGGATAGCTATTTTAATATACCCGCCACACCGCCCGTCTTCTAATCTATTTCCCCTAGCTTACAACCTTATATGCCTATAGTTGACCTTTTGATGCGGGTAGGTCGTTTTCAACTAGTAAGACACGTGCCGATCTTTGCGATCTCTGCTAGCTTAAACCAGCATTCTTAGGATTCTCTGCAAGCCGCGGGCTTTAACAGATAGCTGTTAAAGCCTATTAACTTTAAGCGGTTAGGTACGGTTTTAGAAGGTCTCTCGAGTTACGAGGCTAGGCGCTAGGCTACCTGTGAGGCTGGGGACTTTATAAGTGGTGGGTGGTTTGTGTGAGGCCCTTCGATATATCGGCAGGCTTCTTGCTATTAATGTAGAGAAAAAGTTTGGGTATAATTTACTTCATTATCTGGCGACAATGAGACTGGAGTAGTTGTTATCCCTGTATCTTGCGGCAGAAGCAGAAAGGAGAAAATATTTGTTACTTACCCAACGAGCTGGCTTAGACTCGGCTGGCTCACGCCGTGGCGTTTTTAGAGGAAGGTATGTAAATTATGGTCCGGACATTCTGCTATAGCTAGGACGCTATCCTTTGTGTACTCAAAGTCTTCGGAACCTTAATTACGCGTGCTAATACTTGAAGGCAGCACAGACTACACGAGCTGCACAAGTACGCTATCAATATTTTTGATAGGCTGGCCTAGTTAGCTAGCAAGTCCAGCCGGATATACAGACCAGAGTATATAGTATAGTGATGGTGGTCGGCTCTGCGGTGTCCAACTATAAACATCTGCCTTGTAGTAAACAGGTGCATTAGGTTTTCCGCTTCATATATTATCCGCTCCATCCTTAGTGCCGCGAATATAGATAGATCTGCATTCTTTAGGCATTCTTACGTTCTTACTTTATACAGCAGTAAGTATTAGCATCTACCTAATAATATACATAACTTATTAAGTGGCAGTCTCCTATCCAACAGTAAAAACCAACTGTTCGTAAACTCTGCATCACAACAGCAGTACCAATACTACTTAATTAAAAGGATCCCCGATTATGAAGAGTAACAACGAAGCCACGTAGGAAACTCAGCGCCGCCTCTTATTTCTTCCGAGCCGCTTACTTTCTCCTACTTACCTTCCCCTAGTTCCTCTCTTTCGACTCCAGAATCGCCACCGCGCCGTCATCAAACTCCCTCGTCGGCGTGGCCTAGATATCCGTGATGTCTTAGCTATCTAGGCGATCTTTATAGTACTCCTTAAAGCGATTTATGGCCTGTTCCCTCTGTAAGTATACTCTACGTGCGCGAGATCGAGGCTCGTTATATAGCTGCGCATGCGAGTTAGGTCTTTCTACTCATCTTGCATCTCACTTCCAGGAAGTGCCAGCTTATTCGCGGAAATCTGTCGGCCAAATCTACGAAGCTTCTTAATATTCTTGCGCACGCCGTCGTGGGGTTCTCCGAGATTGTTGTTTTTTAGCTCTATCTCGTCCGTAACATGCCTGCCTTCTATTTTCCGCGCGTGTGTTTGCTATTTGCCCTTTATTATAGTGGTAGGCAGAACGGTGGAAGATGTCTTAGGACGACCATATGCCTCCTATGTTTCATTATGTTAACTGCGAGTCAGGAGGTGGTTCTTATAAGACATGCCTCTATCTCATCTTTCTCGTAAGACAGCTCTAGCATAAAGGAAACCTTCTTCGTTTGTAGCAGCGAGATATCGCCCTCCGTGTCGTCCTTTAACTTGCGCTTCGTTATGTCGGATGACTTGAGTTGTTAGGAGAAGTAACGAAATGAAATGTGCAAGAATGCTTACTAATAGGGTTATTAAGCAGACGTTAGTTAGGTTAGTTAGGAGGTAAGTCTAGCAGTGTTGATGATGAACTCCAGACGCGCTGGTTGAAATAGGTTATCGCCACTTCTATCTCGCGACTTCACGCTAGACTATGGAAGTACGCCGTCACTTGGATATTAGAAATTCTACCGCTAGCCCTAGTCTATTCCTTCTTATGACTTCTTCGCGTTCCGCGCACGTTCTGCTACCTAGCCTTAGCTAGGACTCGTTTCACGAGATGTAGTCACGATTCAATAACATCCTGTGCACTGTCACCGACCTGTCTAGGCTCCCTGTAGAATGTAAGATTACTTTTGGTAGACACTAAGGCAAGTCTGTTCCATAAAGTAGCAACGTAGAAGATGTATAAATATTTGCATTTAATCTAGAAGTAGGAGTAGTCTACACGTTGCCGACAAGGACTGCCTCCACCTTAGATAATGCAACTCCTTTAAAGCCCTCAGAAGACTGATGAATGCGAAATTATTTTCCTATCCCCAAGATTATCGTAACCTAGAAACACAAATCAGCAAACGGCTTCACAGCAATTAAAGAAACTAACTATCTACTCACCTTAACATTATTTACGAAGGAAAGCCGCGCTTGCGACGCTCTCATCACTTTCTCGCAAATCGAAGCTGAAGCTTTTAGACGTACTACCAACAGTGTCTAAGTGTTTTCCTTCAAGCTACGTCTGGCTCCGGATTATATCTTGCAGCCTTAACAGGACAAGGCCTCTCTCTAAAGTGGAGATAATATATAAAGCAGAAGACGTTGATATCATCCTGTTAATTGAGTTTATTGCGTCCTCGAAGATATAGTTCCTAGCAGCTTAGATTAACTTATTTAGAATGCCCTAGCCCGGTTCCACTAGTACTTCTAGTGCTTTCGGTCCTACGGCGGCAAGTATGTTAATAAGTAAATGGTCGCTTTCGATGTCGAATGTTACTATGTATAGTTGGGGAGCTTCCTACTAATCCGTCAGCACGCGAGGGGTGCGAGAAATAAAGTCTAAAAACGCTGTAGAGGCTTAACCAGGCGTCTTTTGGGTCATTACGACTGTATATAGTTTATTAATAGCTAGATTATAAGGATGAATTAATCTTAGCTTAAGTGCAGCTATTATAATTCTAACGAGTCCTTCGACTTCAGTCGGTCGATCATCTTCTCCGATGTAGAGATCCTAGTCCGATACTATGTTGTAACGACTATGTTGACGAGGCAGATTACCCTAGGGCGATGGCAGGATAGGTTCTATGCATGCGATAACCGAAGGCCTGTCGATGCCATAAATCTTCATGTCAAGTAGTATAATCTTCCTAGTATACGTTCGAAGAAGCTCCTACTGCCTACACATTATCTCAAACTAGGCCCCGCACCTTAACTTCACCGGCATAGATTCCAACAGGTAGTACACCCCATAGAAGGGATACAGAAGACGAGAGCGGGCGACATGGGAAGCAGCTAGCTCCGGAAGATAAAGTAGAAACTAAAGAAACTAAATTAGTTAAAGTAGAGGCTGGAAGACGTATTATTATTAAGACTCAACTGCCCTACATCAATAGACGATTAAGCATAATGAAATGGGCCTATATAAGATGGTTTTTAAACGAAGAATAGTAACGTGTTTCACTAGTGTACCGTACGCGCCGCAGATCGTGCCCCACTAGTGATACTGCGAAGCGCCAGTAGGGCTGTCTCCCAATCGCCCCAGCCGCTCGATACTAGTTCCTATAATTAGGTCTAGCTATGCTAGTAGCCTATAGTAGTGTTCGTTTTGTTTAGTGGTGTTTGCGCATCGCTTTAATAGTATTAGTAGCTCGGTTGGCAAGGATGTCGCTTCACGGCCGCGGTCGCGTTCAGGGGTCAAGATTGCCATCTCTCGCGCGTCCAGATCGCAAACTTATCCACACAAAGCTCTCAAATCAGCGAACAGTGCTCTCCTTACTTTAGCTCCTATAGACTCGCTGATCTCCGAAGCCAAAACTTATCCAATAAATCGGTTGTCTAACCTATATGTAGCCTTCCATTCTTCCTGCAGACCAACAATAATCCCCATACCATCGTTCCATAGTTAAAACTAAACTTTCGAGAATAGCACTAACTAACTAACATGCATACCAAGGTTTTGCAGATCTAGCAGATCTAGAAGTAGGGCTACCAGGGGCTGTCAGGACAAGGTTTAATAGCGCGCATCCAAGCCTTGGCGTAATTAAGTACGGACGCTCCTTTAAAGAGTTAATTATACCTAGTCATTTTACATATCTCTGTTATACTCTAAGCAAGGCCCAAGAACTAGCTCAGAGGCCTAGTCTCTTATTTTACTATTGTACAATACGTTCCTTGCTATCTTTAGCTATAGCGGGTCACTTCGACTCACAGTATATTAATTATTTATAAACTGGAGATACGAAACGATACTAGAAGCATAGCAGCCCAGGAATATATGCCTGCGCTAGTACCGCGCGCGGGGCAGATAATCAGCACTATACTACAGATTAGCACATTTAGTGTACTTTGCATTTGCATAAGTAAGTCTTAGACCATCTTTTCTATTTAAAAGGGATAGAAATAATAATACGTAATAGTGCAAAGAACACAGTATATCTAAAAATAAGCTACAGTGTCTTTAGCTTCGTGGTATAAGTGTAATAAATTATATGCTTTCCTAGCGTTTTGCCGATTCATCACTGATACAACGTGGATTAGTAATCATTGTTATTTATTCTGACTTAGCGTTATTTATCTTTGCGACAGCGATAGTAGTTAATGGCTTTAGCATTAACTTGTCACAGGGCGTTTGTGAAGGAGGCATCTTGTTATGTAAGCTTACAATCTTTAATTCGTAAAAATGTTTAGATTAGAAGTTGATTATTATACAGGTTTAATATGTTATATGTCCACGAAGGTCATAATATACTACTTCCTAGTTAAGAAAGCTGTAAGCACAATATCTACTGTTCTTCTATACGTATAGTTACTAACAGAATATAGTATATCGTCCGAGAGGCTATGAAGCCTCGCATGCAAACTAAGCTATAGCTTTTCAATTGTCTATTTATGCTGTGTAGGTTACAACTAGGAGTGAGAAAGTCTGCGCTGATAAGCCTAAAGTACCGTATATCATTCTCGTCATTATGAACTTTATCTTGTAAGCCTTTTCTTTCTTTCCTTTTCGTTTCCGTAAAAATAGAGAGCAGCTGCTGACATACCACATTATAGCCGAATCAATTACATCAATAATAAAGGTATATGCATTATTGGCATGCGAAAGATTTCTATGCTACCCTTGATTATCTTCGAAGTTATTGTCAACGTGCGCCTTCCCTTTTCCTAACTGGGCCCTTTCCCATACGCATGAAACTGATCCATTCCCAGATATATCTCACTGCCCTTTTCATCATCCCTCTCCGCGGTCTCCACTCTTATAAAAATAAGTTGAATCCCACGCTCCGCTATATAGCTAAGCGTTCGCTTATCGGCTCTATCACTACCCTCACCATTTCCGTCGTCAATTTAACCGCCATCGCGGTATTAAGAGGTGAGCCAGGCTGGGTCTGTCTTATGTGTTGCAATATCGACATTTTATGTTGCACGTTGGTCCTACACTGGGTTACATCACAAGGCAGCGTTGCGTCGTCGACAAGCCCTTATAGCGATAGCGATGGTGAGACGATTGGCTCAAGAGGCGGCACAAGATCGGGTCAAAGACGTAACAACAAGACGGCCTATGGGAATGGAATGGAGAGAGATGGAAGCTACATCATCACCATTAAGGGGATGTCAGATGACTCTCAGAACAGGACTAGCAGCTGCACCGACAACACTTCTCCAAAAACAGATGTCAATGTCTTCCCAATCTCTGCCTGCACACTTAATCCGCCCCACCACTCTCAGGCTTCACCCAGGTTAATGGTTTCAAGTGTTATAACCGAATGCAAACCGTCGTCTCCGCCCAGCAAGTTCCGCGCTCCCACCCGCGGTTCATGGCATCGAACCACTCGAGAAGAGTTTAGAGATGAGGTTGAGTTGAGTAATATCACTGTTACGAGAGTAGTGGAGATTGACCATGATAGGAGGAAGAAAACAGAGGATTTGAGAAGTGAAGGAAAGGAGTAGGCTGACCACGAACAGGGGATTGTTGGAGAAGGTGTTATTTGATAAGTACCTAATAAGTACCCCAGCTGATGAGTTTGTCTGAATGCTTGAACATTATCGTTATTTGGGTCCTTAGACGCGCGTCCTATATCTTTTGCTTAGTTCAGGAATGTAAAATTATAGTTAACCATTATGACTTTTATACATGATATTATAGCTAATTGGCTCATGATCCTACGCGGCGCTGTTCTACTTATGAATGTGTTGGCACGATAAAGGGCGGGGTTGAGTCAAAACAACTGCAGTTGTACAAAACACTTATCGAAGACTTGACTGATTCAACTAGCTGCTAGGCTATCGACGTGGCTATATACTCAGCAGTTGCAGCCTTGCCTGCTACTGCTGAAACGTGTGTTCCCCTGCTGAGACTTGTGTGCCCTTGCTGAGACGTGTATGTCCGTAGCAAGACCGAGGTAAGACTGGTGTTGTCAGCTCGATCCTCATATATGTCCCAACAGTAATGTTGGCTCTGTCGAATTAGAGTGCACGATACTACGATGTCGTCGGCTGTGCAAGGCTGCAGAAGCAATGACTTAAGCTGAGCCAAAGCAATAAGCCACTATAATGGCATTAAGGATGTACCACCTTAACTAGGAAAAGCAATATCTATACACCACAGATAAATGAAGATGGTAGACAATAGACACAATATATACATACATCAATTCACCTTACTTACATTCTTATGCACTTGCAGCTCCCGTTTTGCGCGCATGGTCTAGTTGTCATCTCACGCAGATTACGCACCTGCCTAATATACGCTCTTCTGAAAATAGTTAAATTTTGTAAATATCATGTATTGATTGGTCTGAGAGCTTAAGAGAAGGATAAGCTATTGCATCGCTGACGGAAACTAGTACAATTTGAGCAATATTACCACTAAGCAACAGAGACTTAGCGTGGGATTAGAGGGGCGAAGTGCTAGAGGAATCTGTGCTGAGTAATATCCGAGCGGTACGCAGGACTGCGCAGGCGAAGATTACATGATAATACTACTGCATCTGCTTTTGTCGCTATCGCACTTCGCATGTACCTCTCTCTGTAGAGGAGATTAACTTTGTAGCATACATGCAACTCGAGGGAGCTTTAATGCTAGATAGATAGTATTAGCACGGCCTTAGCACGTATTACGCTATTTTTTAGCAAGTAGAAGGCTAAGTTAGTGTTATTATAGCAGCCGTCGTGTTGCATGGCTATTGTAAGTCTATCGCAATCTAGATAACGTAGCAATAGATACTATATAATTTTATAATATATATTCTAAGATAGCTATAGAATTACTTGTAGCTAGTACTATAAGGTTTTTAACTATAAATATCTTGTTGAGAAAGGGTGACCCTGAAGCAAAGTCGAAGTACCTGTCGTTCCTATCGTGTCGCAGGGGTCTTTCGCTACGCAGGTAGGGAGGTTATTAGACTAGTACGAACGCCGCACTGATACAGAACAGCCTACTTTTGGACTAGTACGGGAGACGTAAGGGTACGCTGACTGGACTGGTACGTGCGTCGTACTGATACAAAATGGCGCGTTAGTGGACCGGTACGTGGGATGTAGCGGTACGCTGATCGGACTGGTCCTAGTGTACTCGCTGAGACGGAAGGTACTGGATTGATGCTAATTAAAAACATCAGCTAATAAGCGTGTCGCTGCTGCTATATTGGGACATCACTAGTCTAGTATAAGATCTCACAAGACGCTATATATAACCAACGTTTTGCAGAATCGCAGAAGACAATCCTTAGTTACAAGGGACCTTGCTGACCTGAATGAAGGGCTTAACTACCGAAATGAGAACAAGATAAGCCCTCAGACTAACTACTTGGAATGCTAACAGCCAAAAGCTCGCTAAAGGCCCGCAAAACCTAGTGTGGAAACATATTCATCACACACTTAATTTGTCTTTCCTAGCCTAGGAAGCCGCATATGCCCAGATCGAGGAGTCACGAGATCAAGTTACATAGCAAAGGCCACATAGGTCGATTTTGATTCCAACATCCCAAGTAGCGTATGCCATCCCAAGTGTAGAATTCCACGTGGTGCATTAGTCTCACTAGCCGTTGTGAAACTTCCTTTGTCAGTGTAAGCAACTCTCTGGAGCACCTAGTTAAGCAGCTTACACTTTCTAAGTGGGCATATGCGCAAAACTGAGTGATGGATCTCGAATAAACTTACCTATACACTCTCATGCGCTTGCAGTTTCCGGTTTCTGCAAACGGGCAACCGTTGATCACACGCTAAGCGCCTCTCGCTTAGTGGTAATCTGACCTAAACAGTCCTAGTTTCTGTTAGCGAAGCCATCGGTCGATTTTCTTTTAGACGTTCCGACCAATCAATGCGTGACATTTACTTAATTTAAGTTTTTCTAGACAAGTGTATACTAGACGGGTGTATGTCCCGCGTGATATAATGGCAGTTGGGCCGCGTGCGTAGAGCGGAAGTTGCAAGGGCATGAGAGTGTAAATAGAGTATGCGTGATTACTGCAGTCGTACGCCTAGTATGGTTCGTTTCTGCCAGACAGCCAGGGGCCATGAGATGCCGCGTCGAGGGACCGCTCAGCGCTACGCGGGACACCCTTATGCTATACAGCAGTTTTGACGTAACTAGTTGCAAAGTTAGTGTAATCAATTTCTGGTACGTCATCTTGCGGCCGCGATGCAAGTAGTCGTCCTATCTTTGTGTGGATAAGCATAATGCGGGGGTTCCAAAAGTTTGGTACGCGTTAGTTATAATCTTGATCACCATTGGGGATCGAACATAAACGTAGCAAGTTCAGAAATTTTTTCGAAAAAAAGCAATGTCACAATAGCGGGACTTCTTAGTTCTTATCTGCACGTATAAAGTAAGTGCATTTGTACCAGATTGTTCTTTAGATGTATAGCAGCTATTTATAGCATGCATCTTCTAGGAATTGCAGCTGTTCACTTTATCTCTTTCATAATCGTAAAAATGGCAAAGCGTTCCGTAGAGGTCATCCTCAAGTATCGTTTCTCGAACCGCAAATTGCTTGACAAAGCATTGCTCCCTGTAGGCGCGCCGGTTTCCAACAAACATATACAAGGCGAAGCGGAAGGCAATAAGCGTCTCGCTCTCTTAGGAGACTCCGTTCTACAAGAAGCTGTTCTGGGGCCATAGTACCACTCTAAGGAAAGTACTAGTAAGTGTGCACATACATGAAGGTTTGTTGTGAAACTGACCTTCCTAGAGGAGGGACATAACAGAATAAGGAATTTATGTAGGAATATAAGGTTAAACCAAATAGCTTAGTGGAGTGGAATATCAAATTGCATTGCTAAAATCCCATACCAACAAGGCTAGGTACCACAGAAGACTGCTGCGTCAACGGTTGAAGCACTAGTGGGAGCAGTTTATCTAGACTGTGGAAAGGACATATCGAAGGTCATGCAAGTCCTCGAGGCTATTGGGTTTTTCACAGAGTAACCAAAAAATTGCACTTACTCCAAAAGTCCGCTACACATATTCATAAAACCAGACTTCTAGGACCACTCTAACTTGGGATCATTCCGGTCTTTTCGCATCTCTGGAAACATGCTATTCCCGCACTGCGTATCAATGGAAAATCTGACTGACCCCTGTGCCGGGACCAACCTATAGATTGAGTATAGTGGTAGGTATCGAGTAAGACGTGGTTATCGGTCTGAACTTCGACTTTCTTTTCCGCTCAATGCACTCGATACCGCACCTTTTACAGTTTCAACAGGGAAAGGGGGCCTCGCACTTACGTTTTATGCGGTAGCAGTGGTCGCAGGCGTTACTTAATTATCCTCTTCTTGGTTGCTTTGTCAAGGACAATTTTGCGGTCCCTGATTCTTCTCCCTTTACTTCATTCGTAGTTGTCGACATGCGGGGCAGATAAGTGGCTGACTCAGTACTGGATAAGCTATTTGAGGTGTTCTGGAAGGGTCAATCGATATGTCGAGGCTCTCGACGCGCATATTAACAGCACACACTTGCCGATTATTATGGTTAAGATTAGTCTCTAATCTTAGCCAGAGCCTACATTGATTAGTAAGAGTTTTGAACGTATACCCATGTAAATACCTTTCTAAGAGCGACCCCAGACTATCATCCAGACTCAAAGGGAGGGACTTTATGCGTTGGTCTAACTGCCAGCAGTGATCCAGGGAGGTTACACACACGCCTGCCACAACATGACCGCATTTCTCTACCAAAGATAAGGGAAGAAATGCTGAGTAATCAAATTTATCTCTTAGGATGGGGCGAAAGTTGACGTGTATACAGGGTTGGCCTTTAGTAGTCTATGCTGCCGTGTTGACTATCGTGTCTCTTTTCGCCTTCGACACAGCACCGGCGTCAATGGCCTAAACCTGCAGTTCCCTGAGCAGGTTAGAGTCGTTAGATGAGAATTGCTTTGGCATAATGATCTTGTATCCGTTGTACTCCGAGTATTCAATAAACGCTACAACAGCGTTTGCTGCCTATTCTTGGATTAGCGGTGACAACAACAGGACTTGGTCACATACAATCGCGTTGGCGGCAGGTACCGCATCTTGAGCCATCTGAAAGTGAATGTCGCGCATAAAGGCAACCGGTGAGGGACTGAGAGGGCGGCAAGGCAAAACTCGAAGGACGTCTCAGCCCTGTCGGCTGCATAGATATATGTCGCATGCGTAGGCGCGGGGTACACCCCTGTTGCAGTTGCAGTGGCTTGTTGCATTAGCTGAGCTGAAGTTATTGCTTTTGCGGCCTTGCACAGGCCGCGACAATATATTGTGAACTCAAACCTCAGACCTTGCTCTCTCCTGGGGTCTCAACCTTGGTAACACCAAGCCCAGCATGGAATAGCTTGATCCAGACGCCCCATGGTGGCGGATAAGGAGAGACGAACACGGGTAACGTCCGTCCCTGCGGGTCGAACATCCCTCCCCAACGAACTACTAACATTGCTCAAGTACATTATATTCACTTCACACACTTTTTAGAGTCAAGATAATGTCTATATATCCTCTGCACCTACATTTATCTATTGCAGGCTTTAAAAAGCAAAATTACAGGCCATTGTATTGCGTTCTTTGGTATTTCGTCTTCACCATCGAAGCAGTAATACTTAGACATTCCTGCTCTACCGCAAACAACACTACCGATTAATTATTCGGAACTTCCCTAGGATGCTAAGCTAGGTAAAAAGAAATAACCTCTATTTTGTATCGCGTGCAGCCTTTGTTTAAAACTGCTCCGAGTTATTCCGGCCTACCATAACTCTCGTTAGCTTTTTGCGAGAGGACTTCGTGTGCTGACAAAGCAGGTTTTGAACGATTAGCGGCCTGTAATGCACACCTACGCTATACCGAAACGAAAACACGAAAAACACGACAACAGCGAGTATTGCAATTCTTGGAATCAACGCAGTATATCGCACGTAAAAGTTAGCCTGATACGCTCTACGACCCGTCAACACTTCAGAAGCAGCGCCCACTGCCACTGAAGCGTTATGGCGACGCCGTGGCCGCGAAGGGCGACATGGCCTACCCCGCTACGCGAGCATGCTACTTCCCTCGGCACCTTTCTTNACGACGTCCTGGAGGCTATCGAGCGCAACGGCAGCTAAACCGTGCTAGCAGACCTCGCCGGAGATGTAATCCGCGGCGCGTTAACGCTCGTCTTAAAGACGCAACATACACCTGACCTGGACACAGTCCGCGACGCCCTCGCAGTCGCATAAACTGAAGCCAAAACCAACGCAGAGCAGACCGCGCAAGCCCTCGACCAAATTAAGGGCGAACTTAAGAACACCGTAGATATCGTNCAACTAGTAGCTGCCAANATNCAACAGAACGCTAGTACAGTAGAAGAGGCGAGAGCGGCAGCCAAAGAGGCGACACAAGTGGGCAAGGCTACCCTGGAAATGGCAAGAGAGATTAAGAACAAAGCACCACAGCAGCAGACGAACGGGCCAACATCGTACGCTGCGGCNGCAGCAAGAGGCCTTCNACTAGCAGGTACATACAATACACAGAGTCGTAGAGCACCTATCGTGCAAACTTAACGTGAGGTCATCGTGAACATTAGAGATCCGCTCACTGTGCAGGCCCTGCGGGCAATGAACCCACGTAACCTTAAAGCCCACGTTGAGCGTGCAATTGAGCAGAGCGGCAATGAGAACATTGTAGGCGTGAAGATCGTTTCCTCTAACTAGCTCAAGAGCGGCGACCTTAGCATCAAGGCAGCTACTAGCACTGAGGTCGAAGCACTGCGGCAGTTCGCAGACGACTGGGCCACGCGCATCGGCCACGGCGCCAGCATACAGATCCCGACGTACGGCGTGCTCGCTCATGGCATACGCACTAGCACAATGAACATGGACAGGTTCGAAGACAACAGAAGCCAGATCTTGCAGGACAACAGACCGTTCATCCCGCAGGCTGAGATCCGCCACATAGGATGGCTAACTAGAGACGCTATAGCCAAGACTGCATCGACTATCACGATTGAGTTTACTCGACCAGAAGACGCTAACAAGATCATCGACGAGGGTCTTGTCTGGCAGGGCGAGGTGTTCNAGTGCGAGCGATACGAGCGACANTGCCGCGTGAAGCAGTGCTTCAAGTGCCAAAAATACGGCCACATAGGAACCCAGTGCAAGGCAGCAACAGCATGTGGCTTCTGTGCGCAGGAGCACGACACCCGAGACTNTCCAGCCAAGTCAGACCGGACCATAGCCAGGAAGTGCACGCTGTGCCGCGGCGAGCACGAAGCGTAGAGCCGACAATACCCTACTAGGAAGTACGAGATAGCCAAAGCGAAGATGGCCTACGACACGCGGCCGCAGTATTACTTCGTACCAGAGATGAGGGGAAGAAACGTACAGCCCAAAATGCCTACTACTATCCTTAGAAGCAGGTCTAGCCAAAATACAGCGCCGACACAGCCTACGCAGCCCACAAGGAGCCGGTCGTAGGCCCAACGAGGACAGAAGCGGACCAACACGGGAACTGTAATCGATACGATAGACCAGAAGAATGCGTTGCCGGCAGGAATAAGCAGTCAGCGACCACAGAGAACGATTATGCCGAGCCGCAGAGCATTGGAGGCGATCAGCGCCAACGTGCGGCTGACCCAAAGCAACACCCAGCACATAAAGATCGACTGCGAGACAGAAGCATGAATTAGCACAATATACTAAGCATACTACAGTACAACGTACGCAAGTCGAGAGATATAGTAATGGCGACGCTGCTGCGAGACCCCCGGATACACGAGTACGACATTCTGGCCATCTAGAAGCCATAGAGGAACCCGTACATGGCGACCACTCACCACCTAGCAAAGGACGTTTTCCACCTCTACTATCCGGCGACAACAGATAAAGAAGGCCCAGCGAGGGTCTGTTTCTTCGTTAACAAGAGAATTGGCCACAATAGATAGCGCTTTAAGGAACACTCGAGAGACGTCTGCTCTCTCGTCATTAAGCCTAGCAGGGACCAACAAGAGCAGCAGAGTGTGGCGATTCACAACATCTACAACGCAGTAAGAGGTAGAGGTCCCACAGGCTCTACGCTTGTAGACATCCGCGCAGTCCTCGAGAAGTACAGCAGCAATAAGCAGATCCTGCTAGGCGATTTCAATCTGCATCACCCTTTGTGGGGAGGCCAGAACGTTAGACACACTAATCTACAGGCAGAAGACTTAATAGCAATCATAGAAGACTTTGACCTTAGCAACACGCTAGCGGCCGGGACGATCACATACGAAGAAGCGACACGGCAGACCACTATCGATCTATGCCTCATTACTATCGGCCTCGTCGACAGGATGATTAGAAGTAAGGTAGACCGCGACCTCAACCACGACTCTGACCACCTACCGATAAGCACAGTGCTCGATATGGCGGTGCAATCTATGCAAGAGACAACAAGGAGGAACTGGAAGCGCATGAACGAGAAGACGTACCTAGAAAACCTAAAAGCGACTCTGCCGACACTACGCAGGCCAGCCACTAAGCTAGCACTTGACAACTACGTCCGCGACGTGACTACTGCTATCAAGACAGCAGCAGAGAAGGCGACTCCGCAGGTATGCATCTCAGCTCAAGCAAGAGAAGGATAGACAGCGGAATGCAAGACAGTACTAGCGGAGGCGAAGAGGCTTAAAAGGCAGCACAGCCAACACGGCACAGAAGAGACGTGGCAAGCGTATCGAGAAGCGAGAAACCACAAAGCTAGAGTGATTCGCAAAGCAATGACTCAGATACATAGAGACCGAGTAGAAGAGGCAGCGCAGTCGCCAGAGAAGCTGTGGAAGCTCGCAAGCTGGGCTAAGACAAGAGGCAGTGTGGCCCCTAGGGTCACGCCTGCCATACGACACCCAACGACAGAACACGAAGTCACAGAGCCAGCCGACAAAGCAACTCTGTTCCGAGATGTCTTCTTCCCCGCCCCACCAGCAGCAGACCTAACAGACATACAGGACGCCGAGCACAGCGGCCAGATCGAGTTCCCCGCAGTAACGGAAAAGGAAGTAAGAGACGCGATCCGTGCAGTAGCGCCTTTTAAGGCCCCTAGGCCAGATAGTATAGCAAATCGAGCACTACAGGTAGGAGAGAGGCTGATTACTAAGCACCTTATAAGAATAGTCAACTACAGCCTGCGCCTAGAATACTGCCCTTCTCACTTTCGTGAGTCGACCACGGTCGTCCTGCGCAAGCCAGGCAAAGACAACTACACCGTACCTAAAGCATACCGGCCGATCGCGCTACTTAACACAGTCGGCAAAGTCATAGATACTGTTATTGCCCAGCGACTTAGCTACCTAGTTGAAACACAGCACGTGCTGCCCGACACGCATATGGGCGGCAGGAGGATGCGCTCTACTAAACACGCACTGCACGCCATTACAAGCAGGATCTACCAGGCATAGAACAAAGACGATGGCTAGGTAGCTAGCCTTCTGCTACTTAATGTCTCGGGCGCCTTCGACAACGTTTCGCACCCACGACTGCTTCACAACCTGCGAAAGCGAAGAGTGGATAAGAAGACAGTTAAGTGGATTGCAAGCTTTCTCAGCAATAGACACACCAAGATCGCAGTAGATAGCTTCACATCACAAGAGTACGCAATCAACACGGGCATACCGCAGGGCTCGCCGCTCTCGCCCATTCTCTATCTCTTCTACAATGCCGATCTTATAGACGAGTGCAACAGAGAAGTCAACACAACGTCCACAAGGTACATAGACGACGTAGCTATCTTCACATAGGGTAACACAGCAGCAGAGACATGCAGCACGCTAAGTCGCGTTCTCAAGAAAGCACAGCGATAGGCCATCACCCACGCCTCGGTCTTCGCACCAGACAAGTTCCAGCTGACTCACTTCACACGCTCGCGTACACGCATCAACAGAAACAGGACATTGCAGACTAGCTAGGGCGAGGTGACGCCTAAGCCAACATGCAAGTATCTAGGCCTAACTATGGACTTAAAGCTACAGTGGAAAGAACATATAGAAGAGATCAGACGCAAGGCGACAAAGACGGTTAACACGCTCAGCTGCCTCGGAGGCTCGACCTGGGGTATCACGCTTACAGACATGCGGAGACTATACGAGGCCACAGCGCTGCCACAGATGATGTATGCCTGCTCTATCTGGTTAAATGCCAGCGTCAAGGGCAAAATATACACGAAGAAGACACTCAACGTCCTGCAAAGTATATAGGTAAGAGCAGCAAGAGCTATATGTGGAGCATATAAAGCTACGTCCAAAGCAGTACTTGACGTCGAAGCACACCTCCTGCTAATTGAGTAGCAGGTATGGAAGCATAATGCTGACGTTATTATCCGGCTTCTCTCGAGCAAGCACATGGTATACATTTTAAACCTTAAGGTGAGCAGAACACAGCCCGCCAGCGTAAGTATACGCCGCACTAGACACGTCGACTTCTGGCAGAAGATATACGACGATATGAGGAGTTAGCGTAGATAGGATCTCGAAATATAGGAGCCAATCCCACTCTTTATTACCCCGCCCTGGCGACACGGCCTAAAGACCTACATAGACAAGAGCGCCGACAAAGCACGTAGTCGACACGACAGAGAACATGAGAAGGACTAGAGCCTTGGCATCTACACCGATGGTAGTGGTATAGAAGGCGAGATTGGTGCTGCAGTAGTATGCCTACTTACACATCAGACCCGCACAGTGTACATGAGGCTAGATACAACCTCGACAGTCTACGCCGCTGAGCTATAGGGTATCAGCCTCGCACTATAAATAGTATAAGAGTATGCAGAGCGAGGAGGTGAGAGGCGGAAGGTAGCTATCTATATAGACAACTAGGCAGCTATCTGGTCCGTGGCTAAGGCTGAGGGCTGATTAAGAGCCTATATTCTCGCAGACATTGCAGAACAGGTTAAGACGCTTTAGAATATGGACCGGCCAGTGACAATAAGGTAGACCCTAGCCCACACCGGCATCCTAGGAAACGAAGCGGCGGACAGGGCCGCTAAGGAGGCTATAGGATGGAGAGAGGACGGGCGCAGACACCCGCCAGCAGAAGCGCCGCCCAAGCTCTATCTAATTAAGTCGACCGTCAGGCGCTGGTGCAGGACTCAAACAGAGCGAGCGTGGGCAGCTAAGTGGCGAACAGAGGCGAAAGGTCGAGCAACCTATAGACACACACCGTAGCCTACTAAGAAAGTACTTCAGACACATGAGGGCCTTACTAAACGACAGAGTGCGCTACTAGTGCAGCTGCGTACTAAAAAGATAGGCCTGCGCGACTTCCTCTTCACCCAAAGAGTGCTAGGGGTTACTAGCTCTCGCTGCCAGTACGGGGAGAGACGACAGACTGTTGCCCACATCCTGCTCCACTGCAGGAAGCTTAAGGACCTCCGGAACTAGGTATTCGGCAACCTCCGTGGACGAAACAACCTCCGGGCTATCCTAAATAAGCCATAGCTAGCCACCAAAGCCATCCAGTTTATAGAACAAGCGCAGATCCTTGGGCACGTTGGGATCGAAGACGCGTAGACGACAGCCGAGCGCTGGGGAGACTGTAGGTATCGCGGCCGCAAAACACGAGGCAGCACGCCTCTACGAGCCTATAAGCATAGCATACTGTTAGTAGAACCATTATCTAGATGAGGTAGCAGCCAGATTGTAGATAGTGGCGGAGGGGAAACGGCAGGCCTCTAGGAACAGCTGGCTCCCATAGGGAGTGACGCGGGGCGGCGCGGATTAACGTCTGCGCGGCGCGGATTAACGTCTGCGCGGCGTCGGCTGTTGGCTACGCCAGCTATGCCGGGCATAGCTGCGGAGAAAACGCGGCTGAAACCGAGTAGGACTAAATCAATCAATCAATCAAGCTATACCGAAACGGCTTGAGCTGTGGCGCGAAGCTTAAGAGGCTTCGTTCAGCCACTACTTAAGCACACCGTCGCTTACTGCCTATTCTCAGTCGATTGAGTATTAACTTCTCACAGTTCCTATTATATGTGTAATGAATAATATATAGCCTGGGAATTTCCAATAAGTACAAAAGCACCAAGATTTAGCGATGTCCTCTATCTGTTTACCGTTGCTTGCCTAAGTCACCTGACAAAGCCAGACCCTTCCTAATCCTACTCCTATGCCTACTTGGGTCTCACTCACAACCGAGTTTGATGGTCGATATTCGGAGGGTATCCATAATATGTTGCTGCCAGCGCGCATAACCCAGCTGCGATCTAAACTTATACCAACACCCTGGTACTGCAGTTTCGATGCTGTAACGTCAGTGCAGTCTGTAACCTGGGGACTAGGGATAGTAATAGTGCCTATATCTGTATGGAGTAAAGTACTAGTAGAATCGAAAGACAAGTGCTAAAGAGATGTGCCAATGTCAAGGGTATACAGGTACGTCTCGCTGTTCGCGTCCCAGATCTTGATAGTCTTGTCAAAAGACGCTGACGCTAGCCGGGCCGAATCGTGCGACAAGGTCACTGACCAAACATCACTACTATGGCCCTCAAGCGTCTGCAGACACGTCCCGCTGCTCGCGTCCCATATCTTGACAGTGTTGTTGTGTGACGCTGACGCTAGCCGGGTCGAGTCGTGCGAGAAAGCCACTGACCAAACACAACCGTTATAGCACTTGAGCGTGTGCACACACGCCCCGCTGCTCGCATCCCAGATCTTGACAGTATTATCTCTTGATGCTGACGCTAGCCGGGTCAAGTCGTGGGAGAAGGTCACTGACATAACATCAATGCTAGAGCCCTCGAGAGTTCGCAGACATGCGCCGTGCGGCTTGCTATCGGAAGATATGAACGGCCTCGTTCTTACTAGATGGAAATGGAGACCTACGGATCGCAAGGTGCTACTAATGGAGTATGCTGCACAAGAGAAAAGAGGTAAGCCAATAGATCCTAGACAAGTATCGGACTTAGTGGAAGCCTTAGAATAACCCTTGGTTAGAGAGGATTGCGGATACCTAGGGGCTACCGTTTAACAATGCGTCGGAGGCGCCAGAGTGTCCCTTTATGTCACCACAGTATTCTGCATGCCAAACTCTCAAGGCACGGAACATTATGCGATTGATTGGGCACTAGAGATGTGCATGCCAGCCGGAAGAGCCAGAAACAACTGTTCCCTAGCGAAATGCTTTAAATCAGCATATCTATAGCCTCAACAGATGCCGAGCCTTGCTCTGCATTATTCAATTTTATTTGGCGAATTTGAACAGTGTGCGCCGAAAATTCGACATATAACTATCTTGTATTAAAATATCTAGTTATTAGCAAAATTTATTAGAATTACGCAGATATTAGCCCGCCGACCCGCTCTTTAAACTCCCGTTTCTACGCCGGCATCACCGACTTCGGCCTTTTCAGCGTCATAGTGAAGACTTTAATAATAATACCTGCTCTTGTATGCACTCTGCAGTCGTTTAAGGCGTTATCTAGGACTTTAGCGGAAGTCCTAAAGCGCGATGAAGCTCGACGTTTAGCCCGATCTTCTTCGCTTCCTCCGCAACGCGCATTCAACGGGCGAGAGGTTCTAGTATTAATAAATTAGGCTTAGTCGCAGCATTAATACTAATAATCAAACATCTTACCTTAATAGGCTCTGACGATTCGGCTAGATACCCTTCCTTAATTGACGGCTGTAATAGCCTGCTATGCATTGCACTATAGGGAGAACTGAGATTATTTAATGCCTAAACGATAGCCCTTTTCGGCCCATGCGCATTAGAATGCAAGTAATTTTGTGGGTGCTTGCTTTCCTTAGTCAGTAGGAATACAGACTGATTCTTGAGGCGACCAGAGAAGGAGGGCATATCCCTTGCCAAAATGGAGTTGACCTAAGTAGTTTTCACTCTATAAGATGGTAGAGGTTCTGAATGCGGGTAGCCATCCATAGTGGCTATCGCCCTCTGGAGTTTGCGACGGTGACCGAGTTTGAAGCCAAGGCGGTCAAAGTCCTCCTCTTTTACTGTTATTAGCTACCTCCACGATACAGACCCTTCCTCTTCAGGCTGTCTTAGTTTTCCCTGAGGGCTCCGTAACTACTAGACCTAGAAGTTGCGGCTTATATAGCCTGTTTTACTTGCGTCTTCGTTTTATAGTTGATCTCCCTCTAAGAAATCTAGTTCTTTGATAATCCAACTGACGCTGCGGTCTAGGTTTCTCCGGAGTTGGGACTGTTATCATCCTATTTATAAAAATATAATGCCCGCCTTAGTCGTTTACTAATTAACTTTATTAGCACGGAAGGCGTAAGAGGTGTGTCGTCCTTAAAATCTTTGAGAGCGTCCTTAATTCTCTTCCTGCTTGTCTCAAGATCGACGCTAACACCGTTTAATAGCGTGGTTAAGGTCTAGTTCCTCTGTAACGCCCTGTGCAAAGTAAGACAACGTAGATAATAATGATTAGATTAATAAACTCTTTTAAGCGATTACTGCGCTTTTCGTCGTAAGAACATTTCAAATCCTGCATCCCGCCGTTGATGCAGCGCGGTCTGGTCCTAGAGCATTTCGTTTCTGCATATATTAGCTCACACAGAATGTCCACACGAAGCCACTAGCAGGTTAGGACGTAAGGATTATTAGTTTAAAGATTATACACACTGCGCTTCCGGCATCTATTGCACTACACGTCTAATTAGCGTCATAATGCTGACTCGTAGAAGTACGGTACTTACTGCCTTATCTACTGTCTCGGAACGAATACGGGGAGGCTTCGGGAGAACAGTCTGCTGATTAGGCCGCCTAAGCCGAGGGGTGGCTACTTTGGCGCCGGGTCTACTCCTGCTCTCCATTGATAGCAAGCACCTTTAGAGGTGGCTCGAGTCGGTTGAGCGAAGCTCGCGTAATGATTCAATAGAAGCAGATACTAGGGTGCAAGTAGGAGCTGGGTACGTCAGAAATGTGACTGTGACGATAAATATTGCGCACTGCCTATGATTGTTGGCAGCAGGCCGGAGGGTGCAGTGCTCACAGCTTTTTATGACGAATTATTGCAGAGAGATGACGTAACGGATTGGTGGCGAAAGTGGCAAACCTTGATCTAGCTGATTAAGCATTCAACCAATTAATCTCGCTGCGTCTGCCGTGCCACGAACCTCTACTATCAGCGCTAGTTTAAGAATCCTATATGTGTACCACTCCGCTTCGCAGCATCGGTAAGTGCCATGGTACTCTATTGTTACCAACGTTATTTCTCTTTCAAATATTAACTTTTTCCTTGCTCCTATAGGGGCCTTTTGCTCTACCTTTATGATCCCATGAATATGCGTTGCTTCTGGTGAAGCATGGCCCTTTAGTCAACTGCTCCAGGTCGTTGACATTGTAATTACGCGTGGATGAACGTTATGTAGGAACGCAAGATTAAACCAGATAGCACAGAGGAGTGGAATATCAAATTACATTACCAAAAATCCATCCCAACAAGGTCAGGTACCGCAGGAGACTGCTGCGTCAACGGTTGAAGCACTGGTGGGAGCGGTTTATCTTGATTGTGGAAAAGACATATCAAAGGTCATGCGAGTCCTCGAGGCTATTGGGTTCTTCATAGTGCGATGAAGATGAATTGAGTCTATCAAGTGGCAAAGTTATGTAATTAGTGAGGAGAAGCAAGGAAATGGAACGACCCTGAGTCCGAAACGCGAGTCCATCAACAGTATCCCACCTAGTTGTTCAGTTCTTCAGGCTTATTATCATCAGGATGATTGCCCGCATCTCCGTCCTTCTCCCAGCACTGTACCCACATCTCCAACCTTCTTGGAGGGCCTGGGTGTAAAGGATTGGCCGCATAAAAATCCCGGAGTCTGTGCAGGCTATTCTTGAAGTTAGACGCATCGTACCACTCTAGATCCTCCTCATATCCTAGCCATTTGACACGGTACTGTAGCTTTCTGCGATGGACACGGGCATTGAGAATCTTCTCTACCTCATATTCGTCGTCGTCGTCGTTCGCAGTGTCCTGAATGCGCTTCCGCTTATGCTTGTGCGAGCGATATTCGCTGCTGTCATCGCTGTAGCAGATTTTGGCATCGTATCCGCTGTACGGTAGTCCTGAAAGCGGTTTCAGGGCCAAAGGACGGTTAGAGAGCTGCCTGCTACCGGAGGGGGGTAGCTTTCGCCGCTTCGCTGGGCGCACATTGTGCTTAAGGCGCTGCTTCGATGTCGTGTTTAACGATCAAATGTGCCGCTTGGTTGGCGGGAAGCGTTTCCGCTTGCGGGTCAGCCACGCAGTCTGATTATCGCAATTATTGTGATCGCTATCGGTGTCGCTGCTGCTGCTACTGCTCGTGTTTTCAATCGTAGAAGGGCTGCCTTGCGTTAACTATTCGGTATTCATCTTCGACGAGCTCATTAGCGGCGTTGATGGAAATTTGCGACGCGGGAACCCACTCATTTAAGTCTTTTCTTTTCTAACCGCATCGGAGTCGATAACATTCTCTATGTCTATAGAACACTCCCCACCGCGAAGATCCGGGGCTATGATGCTTAAAACTCCAAGCCGATCGCCTATCTGCGTACCTGCATTATTGTCGTGCGAGTCGCTCTCGTCTGTATCTGAACTGGGCTGACTGTCCTCGATAACGACCGTGTTTTCTACGCAATGTCAAAAATGGTGTGCAAGAGCTACTATCACGATCGCACCTGGGCGCTTACCTTGACTGATGTTTTCAGAAGGAGCTGGCTAATTTAAGCTCTCGTCCTCTGTGCCTTCTCGAAAGTTTCGCTTAAACTCTTCGCCTTCACTTTCGTTCTAGGGCGCAAAATCGTCGTAACTGCTTACATCATCATCTCCCCCACCTCTGCTACCGCTAATCTCGCTGTTGCCTTCTCTAACTATGTTTGTGTTAGTTATTATAGAATGCTGGAATAAGCATAGTATGGCTTCGCCAGCTGTAGGGATGCCTACCTAAGTATGTTAAGTCAATGACTTCGACTCCGTCCGACATAGGTGCAAGATTCTCTTTATTCTCTAATTTAGTGTTCGATTTTGGACTGTCTTTACTTAATAGGGCTTTTGAGGGGTTCCGACGAGAGGTTTGCTTAGGCTTTAGAGGCCCACTATACTGTATGATTTGAAGAGAATCTTGTATATAAGGTATGGAAAAAGTACCAGAGAACAATGCTATCGCTGCTGTTGTGGCTCGAAGGCGTGCTGGCGCTGCGAGGAGAGAGGAGACGCAGAGGTTTAAATAGGCAAACATACCACGCTTGAGGCCTCTCTTATAATGCGAATCCTTTCGGAGAGCCCTCTAGAATAATATTTAGCGCCCATCAGGCAGCAGCCCGTACGAGACCGTGCTCGAAACTGTGCACCCTTACCAGCAGCATATTAGGCTAGAGTCGAACCAGCTTCGCGCCGTTTACCCAAATGTATCATGCGGCTGCGAAGTGTTGGCGGCGATGCAGCCTTCGCATGAAACCCCTTTCTTCTTAGATGGAAACGTGACCAAATCTCCCACCAATACTGGTACTAGAAATAAGGAAGTACAATGCATGTTCCTAGGCTTCAGGTTATACTACAGGTAGCGCCGGCCCTTTTCCGTCAGAGCCCGTCTACTAATTAGGGAGATTCTAACCCGGATTTTTTTCAACTCGTCGGCCACTCTGAAACCCAGATACGGGCTCAAATCCATGTTCAGACTCTAGACGTCAGGCTTTGGGCGGCGTAAGCCACACAGTGCAGGGAGGTTGGCGCCCAAGCTATGCTGAACGCTCACTCTAGCCTTCATTACCCCTGATATGTAACGCCAGAATAGGACACTGCCATAATGCAGGCAGTGGCGTGGACCCAGGCTCCACCAATCCGTGTTTAGACGCAGTATCTCGGGAAGTACATGCCTAACCGCTACCTGCATAGCTGAGTAGCGGGTAGGACTCTAGCTGCGGCTTTTCTGGCGTGACTTTTTAGTGAAACTGGGCTTGCAGTGACACTTAGACAGTTCAAAACTAATCATTTCTCTAAGGCTACATACCATCGTAACCTCGCTAGGTATCCAGCTAGAGTTTTACCGGCTTAGTGCTTCGTGTTAAGACGTAATCGGGGCGTCCGAGGCCCCTTTGTTGCTAATCTGTGTAATTAATGATGTAGTAGATCGAGAATGAGCAGACTAGAAGGGACATTAACTTTCGAGAGGGCGAAAGTTAAGGAACAGTTGCAAACCGTTCATAAAAGCCCTAATATAAAGATCTCTCACTATCAGACAGGCGAGAGAGTCAGAGTGGTCAAATCTCATATAGAAACAGAACTACTAGCAAGGTGGTTAAGAAAAACGTGTTAAGAGGGTCTAGTAAAGAACACAGCGCAGTGGCTTAATCGTGGATCCTAAAGGAGGGGGTAAGGTAGATAACACAGCTAGGCAGTGCAGCGATTACATAATTTCTAAGAGAACGAAAATGCCTCACAGATGCAGTCCGAGCGACCAATAGGAGGGAGTAAAGTAAAGGGAGGAAAGAGACGATAGTAGGAGATAAGTAGGACGGCGAGGGAAGCGTGGTTATATCTAATGGGGTCAGCGCACGGGCCAAATAAAAGCAGCGAGCGGCCAAGCAAGCCTCTATTTCCCGCTTTAGAAGCCTCTATTTCCTAATGCAGTTCCACTCTCACACATATAACTTATTAAATAAATCTAATAGTAAAGTATTCTCTATATTCTAAGGCTAGTCGTAATAAGTATATATATATATGTATATATATATAGAAATAGAGAGAGAGAGAGAAAAGAGTTTTATTATTATTATAAATAGAGAGTAGCGTAGCTTATTAATATACTATATAAGTAAATAAATAGATTAATATTATATATATAGATTAATAGTATCTCTATACTATTTTAGACCTAGACTATAGCCTAATAATATAATCTAATAAAAGTAAATAATTAATAGTAAAAGCTCTTAATAGCTTAAAATAAGCTATGAGTAGAGAGAGAGAGTAGTATAATAGCTTAGCACCTATTTCTATATATATCTAAATAGGATCTAAACTAGAGTATAATTTAGCCTAGTAGAAAAAACGACTATATAAACCTAACCGCTATAATAGCTTATTAAGTAGATTTTTAATATTCTTTTATATAAGGCCTATAAGTATCTATTTAAATTAAGGCTCGTTTAATGTCCTACGCACTCCTATATGCCTCTGAGTGAC